TCCATGTGAAAAAAATTAGCTTCTCACTGTTCTCAGGTCAAATATTTATATGCGATTAAAAATGCGATTAATTGCGATTAATTAATTACAAAGCCTGTAATTAATTAGATTAATTTTTTTAATCGCGTCCCGGCCCTAATTTTTACGCTTTATGGAACCTTTTCTGTGCAAAAAGAAGCATGTTTGACAACTAGAAGACATCTTTTTGTAATTGTACGAGCATTAGTTGGTGACATCACATATCTTTTTGTTGCCAATAAAAAAATTGAAATGCTTGATTTAGACTAAAACAAGTTGATATTATCTCACCACAACTGAAAAATGAAAACTCTTCGGACTAAAATAACAGGTCGTTTACAGAAAATTATTAATTTCGGGAAAATGTTTATCTACAAAGTCAATTTAGCAATCAGTTTTAAGTGAGTAGATGTATAAAGGAGCAGAACAAGTTAATACTCAAGTGAGATATACTATAGGAACCTAAAAAAGTGTACTAAGGTGCAGTGATAATAATACTTCTTATTTTTATTTGGAAGCACCTTTCAGGACACTGTTGTGGATTACTTCTAAAATAGTATTTAAGAAATACTCAAACGGAAAATAACATCAAAACGAAAACATAAGAAAACTCGAAATAAAAAAAGAGACATTTTTAAACAGACGGGCAGTACTTTAGCCAATAAGTCATTTTAGATTAACCTGACAACTCTTCTCTACCTGTGGATGCCGGAGCACTCGATGCAAAGCAGGATGCCCAGGTTGATGGAGGCCCAGCGGGGGTCCGCCTGGCCGCAGTCGCAGCACTGCTCGTTGCCGGGCAGCAGCTGGATCCTCTGCAGGATGCTCTCCCCGCGGACGCTGCGCTCCCGAGGCTCGCTGGCCGAATCGATGCTGCTGGTGGACGGAGAGGCCGTTCTGTCCAGGTGCTAGACAAAAAACAAAGAAAAGAAAGTCTTTAAGATCACAGAATACGCTCAGGTTATCAGAGACATTTATTACAAATACATTTTTACACATATTTTGAACTGGTTAAAAAGGTAGCCATCTGCTGGTAGTAGATGCCCTACTGTACGGTACTTATTTATAATTTCATTTAAACATCACATGCATGCATCTCGGAGAAACGATTAGACCCTGTATTCCAAAAAGGGTCAATCTAGACCACATGCTTAAAATGCAGAAATTAACCTAAATATTCCGTTAAGCTCTTTAAGGCGAGTCAAGGCGAGCCCCCCCCCCCGCCCCCCAGGATACATGACTATTATATTGTTACTCATATAATAAAAATTATAAATTTGTCATTTATTCCTCTCTTTTTGTCTAATCCCTTAAACGCACACAGACTGTTTTTGTTTTCTTCTTTGTCTCCATGTCTAACATTTTGTTATTTTTCTTTACTTGTAAATTCACCTTACCTTCTTCTGTGTATCTGTGACACTGTATTTGTATGCACTTGTCTTGTAAACTCCTATATCACTAAATAATAATTTATTTTTTTAAAGAAAAAAAGGAAAGGAACCTCGATGTATATCTGAGGCTCACCTCTATGTAGTACGAGTCTGGGCTTCTCTCTGTAG